CTCTCCTTCTGAATGTTGAAAGTATTATTGTGTTTGTTGTTTATTTCTTTGTTTCTTTCTTTTTTAGCTCCCACATATGAGTGAGGACATGCGGTATTTCTCTTTCTGTGCCTGGCTTATTTCAGTTAACATAATTTTCTCCAAGTTCATCCATGCTGCTCCGAATGGCAGAATTTCATTCTTTTTATGGCTGAGTAGAATTTCAGTGTGTATATATACCGCATTTTCTTTATCCAGTCATCTGTTGATGGACATTTAGGTTAATTCCAATTCTTGGCTATTGTAAATAAAGCTGCAATAAACATGGGGGTGCAGGTTTCCCTTAGACATGATGATTTCCATTCCTTTGCATATATACCCAGTAGTGGGATTGCTGGATCATATGGTAGTTCTAATGGTTTGAGAAACCTTCATACTGTTTTCCATAAAGACTGTACTAATTCACAGTCCCATCAACAGTGTAGAAGGGTTTCCCTTTCTCCACATCCTTGCCAGCATTTGTCATTCTCTGTCTTTTTGATAATAGCCAGGTTAACTGGGGTGAGATGATGTCTCAATGTGGTTTTGATTTGCATTTCCCCTATGATTAGTGATGTTGAACATTTTTTCATGTACCTGTTGGCCATTCGTATGTCTTCCTTTGAGAAATGCCCATTCGGCTGCTTTGACAATTTTTTAATTGGATTATTTGGGGTTTTGTTTGTTTGTTTTTACCGATAAGTTGTTTGAGTTCCTTGTGTTAACTCCTTGTTGGATGCATAATTTGCAAATATTTTCTCCCATTCTGCAGATTGTCTTTTCACTCTGTTGTTTCCTTTGCTGTGCAGAAGCTTTTTAGGATATAACTCCATTTGTTTATTTTTTCCTTTGTTGCCTATTCTTTTGGGATCTTATTCATAAAGTCTTTGCCCAGTCCTGAAGTGTTTCCCCTATGTTTCCTTCTAGGAATTTTATAGTGAAACTGCTAATTTATAAAGGAGTGAAATTTATTTCTTACAGTTTTGGAGGCTGGGAAGTCCATGGTCCTGGAGTACATCTGTTGAGGGCCTTCTTCTGGGTGGGAACTCTCTACAGAGTCCCATAGTGATGCAGGGTGTCACATGGCGAGAATCCCAAGAGCTCCTTATAAAGCCACCGGCCCACACCCACGATAACTCATTACTTCATGAATGGATTAGTTCTTTCTCGAGGGCACAGTCCTCACAATCCAATCACCTCTCAAAGGCCTCACGTTTCAAATACCATAATTGGATTTCCCACCCTCTTAACACTGTTACAGTGGGGATCAAGTTTCCAACATGTGAACTTTTGGGGGACGCATTTGACCTATAGCAAGTTTTTATCAGTCATTTAATGTATCTATTTTGTTAATTTTACTCTTTAAAAAAAATAGGCTTTATTTTTTTAGATCAGTTTTAGGTTCATAGCAAAATTTAGTAGAAATTAGAGAGTTCCTGTGTACTCCCTATGTACTCCCCCTACACTCCCAGCTTCCCCCACTATAAACATTTGAGCTTGAGTGGTACATGTGTTAGAACTGATGAACTTACAGTGACACAGTGCTATCACCCAAAGTCCTTGCTTACATTAGAATTCACTTTTGGTTATTCATTCTGTGGGTTCTGACAAATGTATAATGACATGTATCCACCATTATAGTATCGTACAGAGTAGTTTCACTGCCCTAGAAATTCTCTGTGCTCCACCTATTCATCCCTTCCACCCCCTAACCCCTGGCAACCACTGATCTTTTTACTGTCTTCATAGTTTGCCTTTTCAGAATGTCATATAGTTGAAATTACACAGTATGTAGCTTTTTCAGGTTGGCTTCTTTCACTTAGTAATATACATTTAAGTTTCCTCCATGTCTTTTTGTGGCTTGATATCTCATTTCTTTTTAGTGCCAAATAATATTCTATTGTCTGGATGTATAGTACCACCGTTTATTTATCCACTCACCTACTAAGGGACATCTTTGTTGCTTCCAAGTTTTGGCATTTATGAGCAGATCTGCTATAAACATCCATGTGTGGGTTTTTGCGTAGACATAAGTTTTCAGATCATTTGGGTAAATACCAAGGAGTGTGATTGCTGGATCATATGGTAGGAATATGTTTAGTTTTGTAGGAAACTGCCAAGCTGTCTGCTGAAGTGGCTGTACCATTTTGCATTTCTTGCTAGCATTTGGTGTTGTCAGTGTTCTGGATTTTGGCCATTCTAATAGGTATGTAGTGGTATCTCACTGTTGTTTTAATTTGCATTTCCTTGATAACATATGATGTTCAGCGTCTTTTCATATGTTTATTTGCCATCTTTATAACTTGTTTGGTGAGGTTCAGATCTTTTGCTGGTTTTTGAATTGGAGTGTTCATTTTCCTATTGTTGAAGAAGTTTACTTTTAAGGATTCATCGGAGATAACTCTTTTTTTTAAAAAAAAAAGATGACCAGTAAGGGGATCTTAACCCTTGACTTGGTGTTATTAGCACCACGCTCACCCAGTGAGCTAAGCGGCCATCCCTATATGGGATCCGAACCCGTGACCTTGGTGTTATTGGCACCACACTCTCCCGAGTGAGTCATGGGCCGGCCCGGAGATAACTCTTAATGGAGATACTGATAACTAGAAATGCTCGACTCCTAAAGTTTCAGCATGGAAGATTAGTGCTTGCAATTTGCAAACCACTGATTATTTGAACACAGAGTATCAGATGAGGAATGATTGTACCACTTTGAGCTATTGGCAAGGATGTGGGTTTCTTGCCTGCATGAGGTTTGCAGAGTAAGAAAAGATGGATTGAAAGCTAGAGCAACAGCATCTAACAGGTGAGCCAGAGAAGAGGAACCTAAGTTGGGGCCTGAGGGGTGTGGCCAGAAAGGTAGAAGAAAAACCCGGAGCAGTGGGACAAAGTTTACTTGAGAAAGTTTAAAGAACAAGTGGGTCAGCATTGCCAAATGCTTGAAAGAGTATAAGTAAATGTGAACAGAAACACTTCCTTTGAATTGAGATAAGGAGATCGTGAGGGATCATCAAGTCAGCAGGCAATGGGAAGAGCAGAACTCACATTGCAGTGAGCTGAGGAATAAACAGGTGGCAAGGACGTGGCAAGCACAGGAACAGTTCACTTCTTTAAGAACTCAGCCCTGGAAAGAGAAAGGAGGTTGCAGGTTGGGGGAGACACCAAGTCTAAGGTTCTTCCCCACACTTTCCTCGGTATAGAAGGGTGTTAGAGAACACTCTTGGGAAAATCCCCTACCTGGGGCTTATAATGGTTTTTCTGTTTTCTCCCAGGCCCATCCTTTGGCTTTCTCTGCCTGGCTGTGTCTCCCAAGCTCACTCCTGGGGACTGAACAACTCAGGCTCCCCTGCTGGCTAGTTTACTCTTGGGTTCAAAGAGCCAGTGGGGGAGGAGATTAGAAGGAGACAGGAAGGAAGGGAGAGGGCATGGTGTTTAGCCTCTTCTCCTTCCTACTCAGGCACCAGGTTGTGCACTGGCTGCATCCCTCCACCAGGGCAGCCCCTGACAGGCAGCCCCTCCCCCACAGCTCCTGCTCACACTGGGCCTGGGGGAGCCAGCCATTCCTCCTCCCACCTTCTCAGCCCAGCATGGTAAAGGTTCCCCACTGTTGGTATTCTCCAGGTGCCTCAGTCCTGTGGTTTGGATGTCCTCTCAAGCTCATGTCAGAGCTTAATTCCCAATATTGTATTTGAAAGGTGGGGCCTTTAAGAGGGGATTAGATCATGAGGACTATGCCCTCATATGAATGGATTAATCCATTCATGGATTAATGGGTTAATGGTTTAGTGGGTTATCAGGGAGTAGACTGGTGGCTTTATAAGGAGAGCAAGCGAGCATGTTAACTCTCGTTCTCTCATGCCCTTTTCACCATGTGATAACCTGCATTGCCACAGGACTCTGCAGAGAGCTCCCACCAAGAAGGTCTTCAGCAGATGTGTCCCTTGGACTTTGGACTTCCCAGCTTCCAAAACTGTAAGTAATAAGTTTTGTTTCTTCATCAATTACCCAATTTCGGGTATTCTGTTATAAGCAGCAGAAAATGAACTAATTTGCTCAGCATCCCTTGTCATTCCCTCACCCTGGTCCACAGGCTTCATTAAAGGTCTTTCCACCAAAGTCTTTTCAGTTGAGTCATCTGAGTACAGTTCTGCTCCCTGCCAGACCCTCACTGAAACAGGATGAAAGACCACATAATCATTTTTCCTTCTCGTGGGAAACATATAAAAGTAATAGGGTGTGAATACAGTCTACTTCTCTTACGCAAATTGTGCCATGGCCTATGTGACTCTTCTAAGAAATGGCTGCCAGGATGGAGGACAATAGTTACTTTTGCAAATTCCATTCCAAAATGTCAAAAGTCCTATCTTGTGTGTGTGTGTGTGTGTATATATATTTCTACTGGAGGGGAAATTTGTCCCATGGTTTTTTCAATATGGAAAAAGAAAACTATGAGTGAATGTCATAATGGGCCCCTTAATGTCTGTCCTGAGAGAAATGGTAACAATAATGAGAACTGCTGTGGTCTGGTGTTCCCAGAGCCCAGCACAGGCCACAGCACACTTCTCTTCCATTTGCCTTGTCTCTGAATGAGTTCCCCATTCCTGAGACCCAGAGATTTTCAGACAGATGAAAAGAGGCAGAGGGTTGATAAGGGCACAGGCAGTGCCCAGCTAGTGCTTGATCTTGAAACTCAAGGGGATGTGGAGAATGAAACTCTGCTGGGTCTCAGTTTCTTGTATCTCTCAGTATTGGGAAAAGGATCTTTACTCATGGAATGCTTTAATACAGATTTGTGGATAGATATACAGCAGAAAGGATAACGCTTTATAAGCAGGAGGTTGAGGACACAAGAGGCTTCTCTCTATGGCATGAGACTGCACCCTAAGGCGGGAGCTGCTCAGTGTACAATGCAGTGTATAGTGTACAGTGTGGCCCAAGTTCATTATTTCCATTTCCCGACAACGTGTTGAGACCAAAAGGGGTCAACTAGACATACTTTATTAGCCATTCTCTACATTTGCACTCTATCTCTCTGCTCCCCATCCCTACCAACTCTCATCTCATGCAGCGCACCACAGCCCCATGGAATCCTCTATGTAATTGTCATGGTGGGAGGACAAGAGGGATGGCCTTCTGGGCTGGTCCTGGGCACTCAGCAGAGCGTTGTTCTTCTTTGGGGAAAGGCAGGACAACCAGCTTCTTCTCTGTAGGCCCCAAGAAGAGGAAGGAGACATCCAGGGTATCTCCCTGGGGATTCGTGGTTAGATCCAGCTGCACAGGGAAGGCCTCATGAGGGCCCTTTTCCTGGGAATCTTCAGGCTTCTCATCATCCAAGTCAGGGAGATATTGGACAGACCCTCTTGGCACAGCTTTGGAGGGGGAGTCAGTGTGGGTTGTGTCTTTCTTCTGGGAATCTTCTACCTTGGGGAGGCTTGCATGTTCCTGATTAACAGCAGAATTTTCACCTCCAGGGGCTGTAGCCTGAAACAAGAACATATTCAAATGCAGAGTTCCACAGGGAAAGCCCTGCTATGCCTGGTACTAGGATAAGTTTATCTGTGCCTTTCTGATGGAATGTTTCAAAGGGAGACCAGGTAGAGGGATGGGACTCCTGGTGAAAGGGTTAAAATGCAACATAGACAAGGGCTAGGGGGAACCAAGACTTGCAGAAACTTGACTGCAAATCTTGCAATTTCTGAGCTGAACAATGGTCCAGAGAGGTTCAGTGACTCACTCAAAGTCTTCAGTGAGCTGTCTCCCTATTCCTAGTAGAGGGAACAGCAGTCACCTTTTATTGATTATTTATTCTGTGCAGACCTTGTACAGAACCCTTCATCCAGGTCCTCTCACTTGCTTCTCTCAGGGATCTGAATGAGGGAGGTGTTGCAATCCCATTCTACAGATGAGACAACCAACTCTCAGATGGGTAAGTATGTGCCTGTGGTCACACAGCTCACAGGTGGCAGAGCAGGACTGGAACTCAGGTGGCCTGTCCCAACCACCTTCCAACTACACCAGACTACTTCATAATAAGTGCTCGATAAATACTTCTGGAAAGGGATTGAAAGTTTTTATTGCAATGACCTCTCCATGCAGTTCAGGGTGTCGTTTCTTTGGGACACTGAATGTAATGCCTCAGAGGCTTGAGCTATCCAAGCTAGTACTTCCCTGTTTCTAAATGTGTCTTTATTTTGCAGGATCACACTGTGACTAAAACCAGGTGTGACAGGTCTTTGACCAGTTACCCTGTGGGTGTGTGTTGGGCAGCCTGAGTAAAGTGGTGATTATAGATCTTGGGAAAACCAAAGCAGGGGGTGGGGTAGTGGCAGCTAAATATAGACAATCTGCTCTTCACAGGAAGACAAACAATTAGATTGAAAAATACCTGTGATTTAAAGAAGTCACACGTCACAGAGACCAACTTTTCTCTGGTTTGAACCAGAGAACCTTTGCAAAGACCAACAGGCTAAAAGAAAGAGAAAATATGATGTCATGTAAGTATTAACATTATTAATGATCATAAATGTAAATTAACCTGTTTCCTGCTTGTGCAGACACACTGTCAACCAATATTTTTATGCTTCTACCATGTAATAGGCATGCTCTGAGCTAATTCTCTCCAGCTCACCCTAACCAAGAAATCACTCAAACGGGACTAAATTGCTTCTAGTGATAGGAAACTTAGTGTATCTTGAGAAGAAAAGTTCTGAGTTTTAGAAAATTTTTCGTGTTGAGTGAAAAGCTGTATCTATACAACTTCTACCTCTTGACCTGAGTTCTACCCTTGGGTCTTTCATACAGCGGCACTTTATATATGTTCCACCTGAGTTTTCTCAGACAAAACCACCATCAAGTCCTTCTTTATTTAATAATAGAACAACTTTTTCTTATTGCAAATGTTAATAAATTGTTGTTGAGAATATAGATAAATGAAAAGAAAGTAAAAAGACCTGTAATTACACAAAAGACATTAGTTACCTGCAATGATTTGATTTCTTTTCTTCCAATATATTTTCCTATGCATGTATATTTTTTCTTTACAAAAGTAGGATAGTGTTATACATATTATTTTATAATTCTGTTTTGTCACCTAACGATATATTATTAAAATCCTTTTATGGTATTGAATAGTCATCTATGATTTTCTTTGTAATAGCTACCTAGTATTCTTCTGTATTATTTAACAGGCTCTCTTTTGTTGGACAACTAGATTGAATCTAATTTTTTTTGTTTATCTGTTTAAGCATTGAAGCTACATCTTTTCACATATCCCTAGTTACTTCCTTAGAGTAAACTTCTGGAAGAGGAATTTTAGGGTCATAGAGTATATACATTTTCAAGTGTAAATACAATATTATAATGAAATGTTGCCTCAGTTTTTAAAGAAGAGCTCTTAAGTGTATCCATACAAAATTTACTAAAATATGTTTAGATAGATTTCCCGAACATTACTCTATTACCCATCTCCAGACCATATGAAGAGAAGACTAGAAATTTCTTAAGGTGGGAAGATCCATTAAAGTATGAAGTCCTTGGGGAATTCCTTCAGCCTTTCCCTTCTCCTTTTCATCACCACGCCACAAAGGGGAGGGACTCTAAGAGAACCTTCTGGAGAGACTGCAGATACCTGCACCAAGTAGAGCCTGGCCATTCCCACCATGACTAGGATCTGCTGAGATAACAAGTTCTGTAGACCTATGTGGTACTGACACTAGAGTGGATGTGGATGTGCTTAACATGTGAACCCCAAAGAACATCTGCGGCATCAGATTGGAAAGGAAGAAGTAAAACTGTCTCCATTTGTGGATGACATAATCTTGTATATGATGGACTTCAAAAAGTTGATATAAAGATTTGTATTATCCTTCAACTCTATTTTTCCACAAACTACTTGAAGTATCCTCATATAGAGAATCTTAAGGAATCCACTAGAAACCAGTAGACTAATAAATGAGTTCATCAAAGTTATGGGATACTAGGTCAATACAAAAAATCAGTTGTTTTTCTATATACTTGCAATGAATAATCCAAAAATGAAATTAAGAAAATTCCATTACATTAGTATCAAAGAGAATAAAATATTCAAGAAATAAATTTCTAGACTAATAAATGAGTTCATCAAAGTTATGGGATACTAGGTCAATACAAAAAATCAGTTGTATTTCTATATACTTGCAATGAATAATCCAAAAATGAAATTAAGAAAATTCCATTACATTAGTATCAAAGAGAATAAAATATTCAAGAAATAAATTTCCTAATTACTAAAATAAGTGGAAGTCTTATACATTGAAAACTATAAAACATTGTCAAAAGAAATTAAATAAGTCCTAAACAAATGGAGACATCACATATTCATGCATCTGAAGACTTAATGTTAAGGTGACAGTACCTCCCACATTGACTTATAGATTCAATGCAATCAAATGTATCAAATTTCTGACTTTCCTTTTGTAATAGAAATTGACAAAATGATTCCAAAGTCATCATGAAAATGCAAAGGATCCAGAATACCTGAAACAATCTTGAACAAGAAGAACAAAATAGGGCCGACCCCGTGGCTCACTCGGCTGAGTGCAGCGCTGGGAGCGCCGAGGCCGCGGGTTTGGATCCTATATAGGGATGGCCAGTGCACTCACTGGCTGAGCGTGGTGCAGACAACACCAAGCCAAGGGTTACAATACCCTTACCAGTCACCAAAAAAAAAAAAGAACAAAATAGAAGGATTCACATTTCTCAATCTCAAAACTTACTACGAATCTATAGTGTTTAAGACAGTGCAGTATTGTATGAGGACAGATAAACAGATCAATAAATCGAATTGAGAGTAGAGAAATAAAATCCTATATTTATAGTCAATTGATCTTCAAGAAGTATGCCAATTAAATGGAGGAAATAATAGTTTTTTCAACAAATAATGCTGGGGCAACTGAATATGCACATATAAAAGAATAAAATTGAAACTCCCTCATACCATATACAAAATTAACTCAAAATGGCTCATAGACCTATATGTAGGGGTTTATTTCTTTACTATCAATTTGATTCTATTGATATATATATATTTTTATTATATATTATAATATTAATATTATATTTTTTATATTTTGTATTTTAAATATAAATATATATATTTCATATATATAATCTCAATTTGATTCCATTGATGTACATATATCTCTATATCTCAGTGGAAATATATATATATCCTTATACCAATACCATACTTTCTTAAATACTGTAGCCTTACAGTAAGTTTTGAAACTGAGAAGTGTGAGTCCTCCTAGTTTGTGCTTCTTCAATATTGTTTTGGGTTCTGGATCCTTTGCATTTTTACATATGTAAATTTAGTGACTTTAGATTAGGCAGTGGTTCTTAGATATGACACCAAAAGCATATTCGAAAAAAGAAAAAATATATAAATAGGACTTCATCAAAACGTAAAACTTTTGTACTTCAAAAACATTATCAAGAAAATGACTAGACAGCTCAGAAAATGGGAGAAAATATTTAAAAATTATATATCTGATAAGAGCATTGTATCTAGAATATGTAAAGAACTCTTAAAATT